ATTATGATCTCAACTTAATTCCTAACCCCTTTATATGTTATTTTTTGCCTGAATATCCAACTTCTTTTCGGTTCTGATTGACACTTCGATCCTCCTTTTCATTGTAATCATTTTATTTTCTAAATCAATCACATATGGAACACGATAGCTACTTATGATATCAACACCTTTTTATTATTGTCTTAGTCCACACAGGTTGATATGTACTTAGATTTAATGGCGCTGCTCAATTAAACATTTTGAAAATTAATTAATCATTCATTCTTCATCATTAGTTCTTGATGTTCAATGAGAGCTTAGAAATTAAAAACTTACCGTTGAGGTTACATTGGATTGAATACCTGAAAAGCAACCTAAATATTTAATGTTTGGTCAATCTAGCAAGCACATTTATGAGGACTCATCATTTGGTTTCCGAAAGGTTGATTGACATTTCAACTCGACTTGTTTAATATTGACGCAGTTGGTAGATGAATATCACATGCTCGGTGTTTATTAGGTTTTAGATTCTTCGACACCTTTTCATTGTCTAAGTCCACTCAGGTTATAATGTTCTTGGATACACTTTTATTGAGGCAATCAAAGTTTTCATAAATTGATTTGTTAATATTTTACACTTGTTTGAAAAGCCAAATTTTGCCTTTGTGATCCTTCAGAGCTTCGAGTTCGTGTTAGTAGATCAATAATTTTACTAATAAATACCATAATTGCTCAATTGGTTAGATCATAATTCAGTTACATGTATTTGGATTTCGATTTTGATAATCTTATGGTACTCTTGAGATTATGTCATGTTCATTGCATGGGTTCATGGTATATCAGTCTCTTGTGCATTCTTTTCCTCGTCTTTGTCAAACTCTTTGAATATCTGATATTGATCCTTGCAATCTCAGAATGAATAAAACAATTAATGCATTCCATTTCAAAATTTTTGCCCGCAAGTCAATCTAGCAACTACATGTATGTAGACTCATCATTTAGTTTCCGAGAGTTTGATTGACATTACATCTGAACTTGGTGATATAACTTCTTTGAAGCCTCTCATGTGATATTCTTTCTGTAATTTAAAATACGATGAAAAATAATGTTGAAAAATTAGATTAGAAAAAATAACACCAAAACTTATTCTAATAAATTTAAACAAATTGTTATAAATATGAGTACCATATGGCGTGAAAAAATGCAGATCTGCGACTGAATTCATGAAAAACAAATCTTTGGCTACACCCATTTTACGATGATCACGGTATGCTGCCCTTTCTCGAAATCTTTCCCATTCTTTCATTTGTTTGGTATCAGGATAAGATTCCATAAACTCTTTGACCTGATCTCGTGATTAATCAGCCTCCAAATGAGTAGCGAATGACTAGAAAATAATAGCATTATGAATTAATCATACAATCATATTTACTTTGGTGACTTTCAATGCTTTCATCAGTCCGGAATGTGTGAACCAGACATAGATCGATCAGGGAATAACACCAGTAAACAGTGGTTCGGTCTTGACTTGTTCATCCAAAACCATTGCATTAATTCGTTGTAATTAAATATTTCAAGCAGCTGTTCTTTGGTCAATCCGAACTTTTCAATTCGAGCCTGGTCTTTTCGCTCTGTTTCCGTCTCTTCTTTTTTTCTTCCTTCCTTTTATGATATACAGGTTGAAAGATGCTCCCCCTCTTTCATTCTGTATATCAAACTTACTACTTGGAGTATTTCGTCAATAGAGCGAGCTATAACAAAGATGAATTTGACCGGGCACAAGACATTGATTCAACAGAAATATTCCTGAATGAAAGAGAAAAGCTAAATTTTCAATATACAGCTACATGATAAAACAGTAATTTAAATAATTGTTTTTCAGAATTCCTCAAAGAGGCTCAAGTTTGGTGAATTAACTGTGTGAAAATAACAAAAATTTATGAAAATTACAAGCTATTACGTACACTCATCAGTAAGATAATTAATGATGGACCAAACTTTTGAAAAACCATCATTTAGGGATCATTCACTCAACATTGAGCTATACAAGATTGAGGCGAATAAATAACTTTGGAAATGTAATTATGCTTTGATATTTGAACGTTAATAGTTGAGACTTGGGAAGTTAAAAAATTTTGTTTTTTCTGCATCCATGATCCATCATCAAATTCCTTCCAATTTGAGCTGCTACGAATCAGATCGGATTATATTATTTCATCTATACATTCTCCAACAAAAATAAGCATAAAAATGAATCCGAAGAGTGTTCAAATAAAACAGAATTTATTGAGCAGAAAAGTATTTTCAAACTAATGTCCCAACCAATGTCTAGACAACTGTAAGTACTGCCGAAGCTGTTCAAGAAAAAGTTTATTTTATTTTATTTTAAATCACTCAAAGTTTTACCTTTCAATTTGATGTCAGGTGCTGCAAGGAAAAGATTATGCATTGCTTTACTTCCATGTTTAGCTTGGAGAGCATTTCGCTGATAAGAAAAAACTAACCATAAATATATTCATCTTTCTTCAGATTTTTAATTTATAAAAATCTTTATTTCCCAACTTAATTTAAAATCCAATCCAAATCAAAAAAATTATGTCTTCATTAGAGTACGCCATCTATCAGGTAAAAAACTAGCTAGGTACAAAAGATTAGACTTCTCTCAGTGGAGCTGTGATCGGTGAATTAAAGGAAAATCAATATTCTGTCTTGTTCTGTTGTTGTATCGTGATTCAATTAATTTAATTTATCATCAAAATGTCTGCTATTCGTGTTGTCAACCCTAAAGCTGATGTCGCCCGACACTCTCAAGCCTTGAACATCAATATTAGTGGGGCTCGAGGTCTCCAAGAGGTGATTAAATCTAACCTGGGTCCACGAGGAACTATGAAAATGTAAGTGCCTCTCCCATTTGCTTTGAGATAGCACGTGTTTTGACAAATTTTTGATTATTTGTTTTATTAATAAAATTTCAATTCTTTAGGCTTGTTTCTGGTTCTGGTGACATCAAAATTACCAAAGATGGAAATGTTCTCCTGCATGAAATGGTAAGTATAATTATTTCTAGTCAAGAATAGTGTCTCTAGTTTATCAACTGT